AAAAAAAAGTTACAATGAGATGAACTATAATTATTCTCAAGTTTTGAAACAAAAATTAAACTTGGTGAAATTTTCATGTTTATGCTCAGATCAAGATTAATAGGAAAGACTCTAAAAAAAATTAAAAGTTATCTTGTCTTTGGCATAGGGTTTGTCATTTAATTTTGAATTCTTTTTTTCATCCTCTTTTTGATTCGTTAAATGAGCAGAAATAATTTTTTTCCTAAGAAGTAAGACTTAAAAGTTCTTTTAAAAAGAGGGCGCTATACAATTTTTAATTTTTTTAATTTGAAACTTTAAATTCATAAATTTAAATTTAACTAAAAACAATATATGTGATTTAAAAGAAGTCTCATACAAAAATAAAGAATAAAAATATCTTTTCCATCCCAATCCCTTTTCCGTAACAAAAAATAAATACTGTATATTTAGTGTGTGTTGTTATAGATAGTTTTGAGGTATATAGGTGAATAACAAAGTATATCATTTGGAATGTTTGCTGACAAACAAAAATGAATGTGTTCTCGGTTATACAGTATACCCAGTATATGTAAAGACCAGATATACTACCTAAATTCACTAATTGACTTAAATATGATCCTCAGAAACTATATTAGAGTACTGTTAGGGAAGGAACGTTTGTCACATTTTTACTTTTTCAATCTCAAAAGAGATACTGAGATATAGTAGTAAGGATTCAGGATTTGGAGTTTGAAATCCTGGGTTCAAACTGGCTATATCATCTATCTAATATCATTCTTCTTCAGCCTAAAGTACTTCCTTTATGAAGAGTGCATGGCTACTGGGGATGGATCCTGTCAGCTTTTGTCTGGAAATATTTTTATTTTGCCTTCACTTTTGAAGGATATTTTCACTGGATATAGAATTCTAGGTTGACTTTTTTCTTTCTATTGGAAAAATAACACTTTAAAGATGTCATTCAATTGTCTTTAGCTTTGTTTGGGTTTTACTTTTTTCAGCTTAGTATTCTCATTATATCTAAATATCCTTTTTTATTGTGGTAAAATATACATAGTATAAAATTTACCATTTTAATCATTGTTAGGTTCAGTGACATTAAGAACATTCACATTGTTCTACCACCATTAACACCATCCATCTCCAGAGCTTTTTCATCGTCCCAACTGAAATTCAGTACCTATTACACAATTTTCCAATCCCCTCTCCTCATATCCCCTGGTATTCT